ACTTTGGCTTGAGGGAATATGTATTATGTGTTCATTTGCTACGTGTTTGGCTGTTAAATACGATGTATGGGTGAGGTGACGAGCATCTATGCGTCGTTGTCGAGTTATAGCATGCGAGCGAAATTCTATTCTTGTCTATTTTGTAGCCTTAAATTCTACTATCCATGCTTATCGGGTTATTTGAAATGATGGGTGACTCATATCTGGTTTCACTGAGATTTGGTAACTTTCAAATATTGATTCAAGGTTAGGATTACATTGTGCTATTAATTATGGGTAAAATACTGGTTTCTTTGTGATACTCTTATCTATCCGTTGTTATTGATTTTGTGATTGGTGATGAGGAGTGTAAAGCACAAAAGGTGATGTCGTGCATGCATTATTTATATTGTGAGGAAGAGTGTAAAGCATGAAGGGTGATGCCGTGCATACATTATTTATATTGTGAGGAAGAGTGTAAAGCACGAAGGGTGATGTCGTGTATGCATTATTTATATTGTGAGGAAGAGTGTAAAGCACGAATGGTGATGCCGTGTATGCATTATTTATATTGTGAGGTAGAGTGTAAAGCATGAAGGGTGATGCCGTGTATATTATGAGAGGTTTAATGCAGGAAGGGTGATGTCGTGCCGTTATATTTCTTTGTTTGGTGAGGTTGAGAGTAAAAGCACGAAGGGTGATGTTGTGCAGTTTTCCTTGCTGTTTTAATTGCTCAATTCGTTTTAGGATTTTCAGTTTAATTCTGTCTTATCATTATTCTCACTCTTATGTCGTATTCCCCCACTGTATGTTCCTTTCCCATTATTTCTATGTTATTTCTTTATTTATTATTATTTCCACTAGCAGGATTATATTGTTCAGGTTATATGTGGGTGTCTTATCCTAGCCTCGTCACTACTTCGCCGAGGTTAGGCTCGACACTTACCAGTACATGGGGTCAGTTGTATTGATGCTGCACTCTACACTTTCTGTGCAGATTTTGATACCGGCTCAGGTTGATCGATATTTGCTATTGGTCCGCTGTCCGGAGACTCAAGGTAGATCTGTCGGCGTTCACAGGCCTTGAAGTCCCCATCTATCTTTTATGTCCTACTGTTTTCTTTCATTCAGACAGTTGTATTTATTTCAGACTATTACTTGTTGTAAATTCTAGAATGCTCGTGAATTGTGACTCCAGATCCGGGTGGTAGTAATTAATACAGTTTTATGATATTCCGCACTTATTATATTTCATCTTAGTTAATTATTGTTATTTACTGAATGNACAGTTGTATTTATTTCAGACTATTACTTGTTGTAAATTCTAGAATGCTCGTGAATTGTGACTCCAGATCCGGGTGGTAGTAATTAATACAGTTTTATGATATTCCGCACTTATTATATTTCATCTTAGTTAATTATTATTAATTACTGAATGAAAATAAGGAATTAGTTTAATGATTCTCTAACGTTGGCTTGCCTAGCAAGTGAAATGTTAGGCGCCATCACGGTCCCGTCGGTGGGAAATTTCGGGTCGTGACAACACATAGCCTAAACATTATTTCTAACAGGGATCACAGTTCAATTACTCTAACAAGTGAGGATTTTACGGATAGAACAAGGCTTGATAACAACACAATACAAAAGAATCAACCGGATCACGATTACCACGGTGCACGCCCACACGCCTGGCATCTAGCATGTGTGTCACCCCAACGCAATACAAATAATACATTTTCTAGGGATAAATACCATCAATTCCAAGTTTAGAAGTATTACTTACCTCAAAACGCATAACTCACTACTCTAACAAGCCTTTGCCTCACGAATCAGCCTCCAAATGACTCGAATCTAGTCACAAACAACTTAATATAATCAATAAAAGCTGTAGGAATCGATTATCTACGATAAAGCTAAGATCTTTAACCAAAATCAAAAAGTCAACCATGGGCCCACACCTCGAAACTCGACAAAATTCACAAAATCAGAGCATCCATTCAATTACGAGTCCAACTATATATAACAAAATCATCCAATTCCAACCACAAATCGACCCTCAAATCTCCAAATCTTACTCTCCAATACATAGTCCAAAAATCCCCAAATTTCACCTTAAACATACACAATCTAGGTGTAAAAATTAATGTATAAATAATAATTATCAATAAAAGTGATGAATCTTCACTTATCGCTTCAATTATAGTGAAAACTCTCTAAAAAGTCACCCCTATCTGAGCTCCTCAGGTCCAAAAATGAGAGAAAACATGAAACCCTCGTTTAAATCCTTATGCCCAGGCATCTCGCATCTGCGGACTCAGCAGTCGCACCTGCGATTCCGCTTCTGCGGATTAATCTTCGCTTCTGCGAAGTCCACGTAAGCTCCTGACCATGCACACGTGTGATCCCCTCTTCGCACCTATGGGACTGCTTATGCGGTCACACTATCGCTCCTGCTCTCCCGCACCTGCGGTGCCCTTCCACTTCTGCAACTCCACCCCATCCTGCCCATCGGACCTTCTTGTGTAGAAGCGCATCCGCTTTTGCGGAATAACCTCCGCACCTGCTGTCCCAGGATTCCTTTCCAAACCTTGCATCTGTGCATGCCTGGCAGCTTCTGCGGCTCCGCACCTGTGGCCAAAACCTCGCAGGTGCGGTCACACCAGAACTGAAACTAGCATATTTTCTCCAAGTCCAAACCTCAATCCGATTTACTTCTGAATCACACTCGAGGCCCCCGAGACCCCATCCAGACATAGCAACACGTCCTAGAACACGATACAAACTTAGTCGAAGCCTCAAATCACATCGAACAACATCAAAATCATGAATCACACCCCTATTCAAGCATAACGAAACTAATGAATTTGCAACTTCTAAAACCAATGTCGAAACCTATCAAACCAACTCCGATTGACCTCAAATGTTTCACAAAAGTCATAAATGATACAACAGACCTATTTCAACTCCTGGAACTAAAATCTGAGTCCGGTATCAATAAAGTTAACTCTCGGTCAAATCTCTCAATCTTCCAAACCTTCAACTTTGCAACTTTCGTCAATTCAAGTCTAAACGACATACGGACCTCCAAATCAATATCCGGACCTACTCATAAGTCCAAATTCACCATACGAAACTATCAGAACTATTAAAACTCCATTTTGGAGTCGTCTACATAAAAGTCAAACTCTGGTAAACTCTTTCAATTTAAGCTTCCAACCTTGGGACTAACCGTCCTAATTCACTCCGAAACATCCCCAAAACCAAACGAACCACCCCAACAAGTCACATAGCCATAATGAGTATGGAAGAAGCGATATATGGGGGAACGGGGCTACAATACACAAAACGACCGGTCGTGTCGTTACAGCGGGTTGGGGGTGGTGGTGTGGGGAGGGTTTGCTAGGGAAAGGGTGGGCCGATGCATGNTATATTTTTGAATTATAGGAATAAAAAGGGAAATTACTTTATATTAAAGAGTTTCCGTTGGTGAATGATAAAGTGATACATCAAGATAAGAGAGTTGCTCATGTGATACAACTTCCATATTCAATCCTAATATCATGAGTTCGAATCACTGAGGGATCAAATTGGAAGTTGTTATAAAAAGGTCGCCCATCAAAGAAACAATGGATCCCATTAATAACCTTTTATATCCAGCTTATAATTGTACAAAATTCTATCATCGAGTAAATCAAAGGAAATAATTTAAGGGGGAAAAAAGAGAGAAAATGCTTTGATGAGAAGAAATATTAATGTTTTTGACTAATAATTCTTATATTAGGAAAAAAGCAGATCAAAAGGAAAAAACACAAGATAAGGTAGATACATGTCATTCTCAACCTACCAAGAAACAAAAAGCAGAAAAAGCGTCCAGAAAAAGTGCAAAGAGTCTTGATACACTGGACCCTACCAATTAAAGTAATATACTTGTATTTGATTTTTCATACATAATTTGGCCAATAAAATTACTGTTTCTATGCCATTCTTGTACTATATACTTAATATTCTTATACCAGTAAATACTCAGTCATTAAGGGCATACAATATTATAATTGACAGCTAACTGTATTTTTGTATTACCTTATCCAAAAGCAAATTGTACCGCTTATCCACTTAGCAATTGTTGGTTATATCAGCGTGATATTATTATTTATTTTGTTTACAAGTTTTGAAGATATATTTTCCAATAATATCTATAAAAAAGATGACACACTTTGTAGTATATGTATCTAACAAGTTCAAATTTTTTATGACTTGATCTATGTTTATAAAAGTAAGATTTAGAGGGATAAAATTTATACCAAACTATCTACGCATACATTCATTAATTTTTTTCTTAATTTTGCTGGAAAGTTAAGGAAAAAACTTTGCATAAAAGATACAAATGATTAATCTACGAGTAAGTTATCACTTAATCCTCTACCCACTAGAATTTTAAAAGCAAAAAGTTTCTCAAATACTAAAAGATTAATTTCAATCTTTAAACAAAAAAAATTATGTGTGGAACGAGTGACATATTAGAAGAGTAAAAACTAGTAACACTTCAATAAATTTTAATGGATTGAAGGACACTATTTTTTTTGGTAGTTAGATAGATTGAAGGACTTTCAAATTAGTTTGTGTGAGAAAAATCAACTGTACGTGGAAGTTGGAACACGGGAATATGATTTTTAGAGAAAAACAAAAATAATGATCTCCGTGAAAAATCATGTTACTCCCTCCGTTTCAATTTACGTGATAGAGAAATTTTTTAATTATGATATAAAATGAATCACATATATTTTGGGGGACTATAAATTATTACATAAAAATAAATTATTTTTAAATTAAAAAAAATCATTCTTTTTGGAACAGACTAAAAAAAAAATAAATTCAAATAAATTAAAACAGAGAAAGTATTATTTTTTTCCCGTAGAGTAATCACTCCAATTGACCAGTGAGAAAAACAAAAAAGAAATTTTCTTGTTTATGAGCTGCTTAGACTTTATTACCCCAACAACATTAATTAAAACAAACAAAAACGAAAAGCCAAAAATAAAACTCTTATTCCTTCAATCTTCCCTCCTCCAGCAAATTTCGGGTTTTTAAGATCAATTACTCCTACTGCATAATCTCTTTCCTTTTTTTCTCCGTATTTACCTTATATGACACTCATATATCCATATATGTCATATAAATTGCTAAAGATGTTTGGTTTAGAGCAAGGCAAAATCAACAGAAAGTTTTGATTCTTCACATTGGTTTAAAAAAAGGGGGGTTTTGGGTTTCACTTGTTAGGGGATTGTTGGTGCTATGGCTACTGCGGAAGCCCTTTATGTGATTCCTTCAGCTGTTCTACGTAACCTTTCTGATAAGCTCTATGAGAAGCGCAAGAATGCTGCTTTGGAGGTATACTTTTCTCCGTTTTTCAATATTCTTGACTTTAAGTTGTATGCACTGACCACTATTTACACAATCGGATCATTTGGAAAAAAAAAAAGAAAAACTTTTGAAGCTTATGGTCTAAAACAAATCATAAATACTTTTTGGCTATAATCATCTCATTAAGAGTAAATTAGCAAGTTTAAAGTTAAAGTATTTCTAAATATAAAAAGTTGTGGTTCTTTTCGAAACAGTAAATATCACAGTAAATTAGGATAGAGGGAGTAGCATTGATTGGTCACCTAGAATAGATGAAAAGTAACCTGCTATAATATGTTAAATTAGACTGATGGTGTAAAAAAGTTCATTGCACTGTTAGTGTGTATAACCTTAAATCCTATGTTCTTCTGTGTTTGGAATATTGAGAATTGATATGGCCTACTTAACTAGTTTTAAATTCATGCATAGTTGATGTTACTGTATTGTGTCCTTGTACTTGGAATATTGGTATTGTTTGGTTGTTCAAGATTTTGTTGTTCTTTTGGCATTTATGTGTAGTTGGAAGGGATTGTTAAGCAATTGGCTGTAGCGGGTGATCATGACAAGATTACAGCGATAATCAATTTGTTGACACAAGAATATACCTACTCGCCTCAAGCTAATAATCGGAAAGTGAGTCAGTTTTGTTCTTAATTTGTTTGGTATGATGCAAAAAATATTTTTTCCTGGAGATTATTTTTCTTGATTAAATGATTTTCCAATGTTTGGTTACCTTAAAGTGTGGGAAATGATTTAGAGCAAAATGACTTTTATTGCATGGGCGTAAATCATTTTTTACAAATGGCTCAACTCTTATTCCAGCACTTGTTTCAAGCAAAAATTGGATATTGTTGTTAAAACCAAGACTACTCTCCAACTCATGCCATTATGTACACAATCATGCTCTTGTTCGAATCAAATCACTGTCAAACAGTGGCGGAGGCATGATTTTTGCTAAGGGGGTTCAAAAAAAAAAAAAGTTAAAAAAGATTGTAGCTAGTGGGAATTGAACCAATGACTTTACACAAGTTTTGAACCCCCTTGACCACTAAGCTATGCTTTTGGGCTGTGTCAAGGGGATTCAAAACATAATATATAGAGGTAAAAAACAGATTTTGCCTTATATATACAGTGTAAGTTTTCGGCGAAGGGGGTTCGGGTGAACCCCCCTTCCATCCCCTAAATCCGCCCCTGCTGTCAAATGATCCAGAAATTGATTTGCTGAAATAAAACATTTTCTACAGATAGGATTTTCCTTCAGACCAGAGGCACTTGTCTAACTTGTCTTCATTTAGTTTGTAAAGTGAGTTGGTCATTTGTCTTCCGTGTTCGATTTTGTGTTTAGGGAGGGTTGATCGGATTGGCTGCCGCGACAGTTGGTTTGACTTCAGAAGCAGCACAGCACCTTGAGGTAGTGTGATGAAATCTGAAAATTTCCTATCAATTTTGTGCAAATGTGAGAGAATAATTGTAAGTTTTGAGTGCCATGATTTAGCAATCGGAAAGTTTGACGGTCTTGGTCCCTTTGTTTATATCTGATGAGTGCACTGGTATTTCTACAGAATGTTCATATTTTTCTTAATGAGTTCTATGAAAAATTTACTGTATTAGTTAAAGAGAAAAATTATTATGGGATGTGGATGCACCATATAAGTTTGAGACACCTATAAAAAGTGCTACATCAATTCACAAATAGATAGAGAACCTTTTTTCTATTCGTGCAGTTAAAATATTCTATTTTGACCATGACTTCTTTTTCCTTGATTAATAAGCAAAAAGTTTCATTATTGATCCAAAACCCATGCACTAAGATAGGTCTGGTCAAACGAGGAAAGGCTTACAGTAGATACTTAGGAACCCAGAGACGAGGAAGGGGAGTGGCCTAGCCATAAATCTTGCCAAAAATTATCTTCCTACCATCTCCAACTTCTAGCTGCAAATTTGTTTCAGAATTTGGCAAAGCTTTGTAATTAAGCACCAGCACCGCTGGAGTAGTGAACTCTTTTTGCACACCTTTGCTAGATACCCCATATTTCTGCTGCACTATACTTCTCCATAAAGTTGTGTCGTCGTTGATAAATTTCCATAACCATTTGGTCATCAAGCTTTGATTGTGTGCTTCTAGATTCTTACACCTAAACCACTTATCTTATTGTTCATTATAGCCGTCTCTCATTTTCTCTTTGATCAGTAAAGTAATTTTTTTTAAAAATAAACAGTGCCAAGAGTGTACAGTATGAAGTACAAAACAGACAGAATTTTACATTTTTCTCCGCTATATATTTATTTTCTGCAAGTATGAATTCATGAAAGAGAGGTAAGCTGTAAGTGTTTGTGACAATGGTCTATGATAGAGAGGTGTGTGTGTGAGATAAGAGAGTTAAGCCTTTTTGTCCTCGGTAAATAGGTAAGCTATTCCTTTACCTGAAACGAGAAAAACTTGAGGTTCAGCTGCTCAGGCCCTTGTTGATGAAACTCCAATTGTTTGCTGCGTACAAAAGAAGGAATGAACACTTTCACAATGTAATTTTATTATTTTTCTGATGCATGCTTCCAAATTGTTTTTTGCTACAATGGCTTCTTCATTGACATACAGGTGGTTCTATATGTATCGCTTTGGGAGTTAAATGATTGTATTTTTGGGCTATACTGCTGAGTAGTCTACTTTTCTCTTTATGCAATTTACTTACCCTCCGGATGCGATGTTCCAGCAAATTGTGCCGTCAGTCTTGAACTCTTTCTCGGATCAAGATAGCAGAGTTCGATATTATGCATGCGAAGCTCTCTATAACATTGCAAAGGTGAGGCTTATAAAAGAGCTTGTGCTAAGATTTTTCTTTTTATCGTGGTTTTTGGACTTTACCCATGTGACTTCTGTAGGTTGTGCGAGGAGATTTCATTGTGTTCTTCAATCAGATTTTTGATGCTTTATGTAAGCTTTCATCCGATTCAGATGCCAATGTGCAGAGTGCTGCTCATCTTTTGGATAGGCTTGTGAAGGTAAAACAAGCTTTTTTGCACTCTTAAATGTTTTACTTCGTTTCAAAATTTTAAGGTACTGATCGTAGAAGGAAGGAGTATCAGAGGAATATGAATGGAATATTGTTTAGAAAAATAATGAAATTGACTTGTTAAGTGAACTACAATAAAGAGGAGGATGGAAAGTTTTGATTTGGGGGGGG